GCACAGAACCCCCCTGGAAAACACTGCTCTGGAGCTGGAACCTTGGAGAAGGCTTGGAAATGTGAATAATGAGTTAGGAAATGTGAATAATGAGTTAGGAAATGTGAATAATGAGTGAGAAATCACCAATGTGCAGTGGGTCAGGTGTGTGTGTTTGCACTGGGTGATGGGGTTTAAATTTGAGGGTTTTACAGTACAGGGGTGGGTTTGGGACAAGATGGAGAATTTGGGGTGGTGTCTTTTCCTTTGTTCATCTTCTTCTCCCTCACAGAACTCAGGCAGTGACCTTGGGTTGGTCAATGTCACTCTAAAGGTCACAAAAATCTATTATTGGGGCAAAAGGATCAATAATGGAGGTGTTAAACTTTTATTGGTTTGTTTGGCTTGAAGCAGCCTCAGCTGTTCCATTTCTCCCACTTCTAGCCAGGAGCTGGAGGTGCTGTCACACTTTCTGTACTTTCTGATAAAATACAATAAACATCCAAGGCTGAACACGAGAATCTCCTCAATTATTGTTTCCATTAATCCTGGCTCTGAACAGGAAATGATGAGACGATGACAAATCATTAATGAGTGGTGCAAAGCCCAGCCCACAGCCCTGCACACACACACAGAGCTCAGGGATGCTGGAAACAAAGGCACGAGAGCAAATCCCAGTTGGGAATGACCCCAAATACCTTGGGGGGATGTCCCTGAGCTGGTTCTTGCTGAAGTTCACGGTGGTCACAGCGTTGGAGGCCACAGCATCAAACACGGCCTCGGGGATCTCTGCAGCCTGCTTGTCACTGCGACGGGAGAGACACCAATTAACCACTCATTAACCACTCATTAACAGGGCATTTCCACTTTTTTTTAGAAGGGATGAAGAGGAGAACACAGCTAAAAGCTGCAGAAAGCTCCCAGCACTGCCCCATGTCCACAATGTCACCAAAATGGATTTTTTTTTTTTTTCCCAACATTTCCAGGAGCATTTAAGGAATACCAAGATATTCTGGGACTTAGTGAAAATCAGAAAGAGTTTCAAAGGTACTAAAAGCACCACAACGATTCAGCACTTCAATAAATTACTATAGAATATTTGATAATATAAAAAAAAAAAATAATTCAAACCCCCCCCCACCACCACAATCTAAACCTGCCCATTCCCAAGCACGGGAATTAAAAGGAGTGCAGCAGGGTTTGTGGACAGCTTGGTGGATAATGAAAGAGGTGGGGGGGAGGAAAAAAAAAACCCACAAGCTTAAAATAGGATAAAATAAAAAATGTTCATCCAACAAATACCTGTATTCCAATAATTTCAGCGTGGTTATGGCGTGGATGTTGACCTTGGACTGGCTGGGAAGAGTCATGGCTGTGACAGGAGATTCTTCATTGGGGCCAGGGCCATCATCTGGGGACACCAGAGAGGGGCAGGGACACGGCTGAGCTGCCACCACCCCTCTCTAACCCTGCCTCAACACCATTAAATTCAGATTATTTCCATCATTTCCTGATAAAGGTGTTTTGGGTTTTTTTTTTTTTTTTTACCACTTTGGATGTGGGGGTTCTTTTATAGGAGGAGAGAAAAGTTTTGTGGGGTTTTGTGGAGCAGGGGAGGCAGCACTGGAGATGTGCTGGTGGCAGCTGCTGTGTGAGACAGGGAGCTGGAAACTACAAAAATCAGGGAATTCTGACTGGAAATGCTGACCTAGAGCAGCTTCATCCACACCAGCACGTCTGACCACAATTCCAGTTAAAGCAAGAATATTTACAAACCCTCCTCTGTGAAGTTCCTTCTGATTATTCCCCACAATCCACATGAAAAAAAAAAAAAAAACAACTCCTGCACACCTGAAATGGGAATTCCCATCCAGCTGAGCAGGGTGAGGCTGGTTTTGTAAAGGATAATCCTCAATTCAGGATGTTTTATTCAGTATTATTCAGTATTAGCTATTGGGATAAGAAAAAAATAAAACAGAAACATCACAGCAAACTGTTGAGTAAAGGAAATTATTACTGCAGGATAACTGGGGGGACCTGGATTTAAACAACATCCTCCTTAAATTCTAATTTACTTTAATTCCTTAGAATATTCTCCTTAAAATGAAGTGGAAGAAAACAACATACCTTGGATTTTGCTCCTCAGATATTTCAGCAGTTCCTGGGTGCCTTTCTTTAAAAAAGAAATTTTTTTTTATGTCAGTATTTGTGCAGCAGGGAGGACAATGCCAGCCCACAGCACCCCTGACTAAAAATCCAACTGAAAATCCCCCAGCAGCTTGGGAACTTCTGGAATTATCATTTGATTTATTCCAGCTGAAAAAATTTCTGATCCTGAATCACAGCTCCTTATGTGAAGATTTTGGTCACTTCCAAGAGCAAGTAAAAAAAATTTCCAATGAATTTAATTTTCCTTTTAAAAAGCTCCAGCACAATTTGCTGCAGAGAACAAACACATTTACAGCTTGGCACTGAAGCTGACAGCTCATTGTTCTGCTTCTTTTTTTTTATGGCCCAAAACTGGGAAAATCATGGCAGTTTGCATCATTTGCAGGGATTTTTTAATTGTTTTATTTTCATTTTTTAGCTCCAAAGATTTCCCTCAGTCCTCTCACAGCAACTTTCAGTGGTCACACACAATTTCCACCTGGATAAATCTGTGAGCAGTGAAGCCCAATCTCCTCTGCAATGTTTATTTTAGGGGAAAGGGAGGTTTGGGGTGTGATTTTACAGGTTTGGGGTGTGATTTTACAGGTTTGGGGTAGGATTTTGAAGGTTTAGGGCAGGATTTTGCAGGTTTGGGGGATGATTTTACAGGTCTGGGGTGTGATTTTGGCAAGGGAAACCAAACTGGGAAAGGTGAAAGTCAAACTGAAATCTCAGTAACATGGGGAGGAAAGCAGGGAGCAAGGCAAAGCTCCAGAGCCAAGTAATGGAACAGGAGTTAAAAAAAACAGAGCAGGATTGACCAGAAATCAACTGGAAATTCATCAAGAACCAGGAATGGGGTTGGGA